TTCAATAACCCCCGGCGACTGTCTAAGTCGCCTGTGCCGTTATCCCCGTTCGCCCGGCGTTTTTTTTATCAGGCTGTGGCGAAACAACCAACAACCCCAAATGCGTAGCTTCCTCCAAGAAACGGAGGAGGGAAAAAAACATGTGTCATCTGAACACGCGGAAAGCACAGCGCAAATCTTGTCGATCACCGTTTATGCAGCAACAACTCCAAAGGAAACCACAAATTGACTGACGATCCTGCCATACAGAATTCCCCCCTCCGCCGCGTCTTCTAAATGCCCACCATCTACTCCTCCCTCTACCAGAACTTCATCCGTCAAGGATTCGCAAAGTCATTCACCCACGGTTACGCCCAGTCCGTCGTAGCTGCCACACATCCCATCCTCAACACACAAAACCGACCTTCATTTGCGCGCCGAAACACCAACCGCTTTGGTCGTCTTCAGTCTCTCCAGCTTCAGTCCGCTTTCCACACCGCTGAGCGGACAAGTGCTGGCCTCCCCCAGCATCACCACGAGAAGCTCGACGAGAAGCTTAAGCATGGAAGCTTAGACGCCTACTTCGAGGCGCTGCAGGAGCAGCAGGCCTCTGAAGAAGATATCGACAAGGAATGGACCCAGTTCCAGTTTCAGCGCCAGATTGAGTGGAAGCCTTCACCAGCTTCCATTCTCGTTGGCGAGTCAAAGGCCCACGATGCCGAGGAGCTCGCCGCCACCCAAGATGGAGAGGCCTCGCCAATTCCGTTAGAGGCACAGGCCGCCCTGGCGCAGATTGACGCAGCACTCGAGAAAGAAATCGAATTCAGGAATCGCATGGAAGCTTTGGAAGAGGCTTCTGAGCACTCTATTCGATCTGCGTCCCACAATGGCTCCGCCGCTCGCTCATACCAGTCCCCAGCAATCGACAGATCGCGGACTCCCGTCAGCGTAGCCCGAACTGCCACTCCTCCTTTCGACCCTCAATCTCAGGTGTACGCCGACCACCTTCACAAGCTCTCTGAGGATGGCCGCTACGCTGAGATTCCGGCCGTATTCGAGGCCATGCTCGTCGCCGGCGTGCAGCCTATCGCGAGCGCCTACAACGCTCTGTTGGTTGCCGCCATTCACTTGCCCACTGCCAAGAACGAGATGGTTACTAAGGCTCTGGATGTCTACGCCGACATGCTCCGTCGCAAGATCGTGCCGGACAGCGATACCTACAACATTCTTGTTGGTCTCCTTGCCGCCCGATCCCTCGAGGTTGCCTCTTTGAAGAAGACTCTTCACGACAAGTTGGTGCGTTTCGGTGGCATGGATGAGCCCGGCAAGTTCATGTTCGCTTCCCACGAGCTTGAGCATGCCATTCTTTCCGAGGATGACAGACTCGATCTTGCCATGGACATGTTTGAGAAGTCTGTCCTCACCCAGAGGGCGTCCTACTCTGCTGAGTCATACCACCAGCTCATCTCTGCTTGTGCTCAAGCTGGGCGTGTTACTGACATGCTCCGCCTCTACGAGCACATGGAGTTGAACCGTGTCACCCCCTTCGCCGCCATGTTCCCCAGCATGATCACCGCCTTCGCGACGTCCGGCGACCTTGTCAGCGCTGTGGAGTGCTACAACGAGTACAAGGACCTTGCAGTTGCTAACGACAACGGCGAGCCTACCCTTAACGACAGGTTGGACGCCGAAGTGTACGCTTCTGTCATCCACGCCTACATCATCTCCGACAAGGTTGACGGTGCGATGAAGTTCTACGAGAAGATCATCACGGAGTATGGCGTCCGCGCCGGCGATATCAAGGACGCGATTGTCAGCTCTGGCATGGTTAAGGCTTTCACTGACCGCGGCATTTTCAATGAGGCCCTCCGCTGGGCCCAGGTTGTCGAGGCTGAGGTCAGAGCGGACCCCATGAGCAGCCTTGCCACTCGCGCTGCGGATCACGGCGACAAGCACACCGCCGTCGCTGCTTTCGCCAATCTGCCTATCAACTTCCACCAGATTGCTACCCCTGCCATGGCACTTCTTGCTTTGAGCGTTCGTCAGGGCGACGTTGCTTCCGCAGCTCGCTACTGGCACGTTCTCTGCGCTCCGGAGACCCCGGTTACCCCGGCGCTCATCGAGCCAACTGCAATGTACGCCATTGCGATGATTGGATCTGGCCAAGTTGCTGAGGGTCTGGCCGAGTTCGAGCTCATGTTCCAGCGCATTCGTGCTGCCAACCCTGAGTATGCTGACGAAATTGAGGAGGGGATTGACTTCGTTCACCAGTTCATGAGCAGCCGTGGCATCACCGATCCTCGCGAGCTGTCTTCTCAGAACCTCTCCGCATCTCCCTTCACCACATCGGCCACTGTCTCGAGCTTTGAGGATTCTTTTGACCCCTACGCGCACAACACCGACTTCAAGGGCTCTTCGTTGATCTCTGATGAACTCGAGGGTTCTCACGGCCGTAAGGGCCCTAGACTCCACGACGCTCTTGGTCGCTTCCGCAACATGCGCCGTGCTGGCCGTCACCCTCGCTACATCACCTACGCCAAGTTGATTTCTGCTGCTTCTCGCGAGGGCAAGATGGAGCTTTGCAACGACATTCTCGCGATGGCCCGCACTGATGTTCCCCTGCTGCCCCAGTATGCTGTTGTCCGTTACGGCTGGTCTAGCATCCTGGATGCTATGGTTGGCGCCTGCCTCACCATTGGTCACCGCCAGATGGCCGAGCAGTACCACCAGGAGCTGCTTGCCATGGGTGCCGCCCCCTCCGCTAACACTTTCGGCCTGTACATCACCACCCTCAAGGAATCCGCCAAGACTTTCGACGAGGCTTCCGAGGCTGTCAAAATCTTCCACCGTGCCAAGGCTGAGGGTGTCGAGCCCAGCTCTTTTCTCTACAATGCTTTGATTGGCAAGTTGGGCAAGGCTCGCCGCATCGACGACTGCCTGTTCTACTTCGCCGAGATGCGAGCTTTAGGAATCAAGCCTACCTCGGTCACCTACGGTACCATTGTTAACGCTCTCTGCCGCGTCAGCGACGAGAAGTTTGCGGAGGAGTTGTTCGATGAGATGGAGGCAATGCCCAACTACAAGGCCCGCCCTGCTCCCTACAACAGCATGATGCAGTTCTTCCTGACTACCAAGCGTGACAAGGCGAAGGTTCTTGCCTACTACGATCGCATGATGGCCAAGGGAATCGCCCCCACTGCTCACACCTACAAGCTTCTTGTCGACACCCACGCCACCCTCGAGCCCGTTGACATGGCTGCTGCCGAGAAGGTCCTTGAGGCCATCCGCACGTCCGGTCAGAAGCCCGAGGCCGTCCACTTCGCTGCGCTCATCCATGCCCGTGGCTGCAACCTCCACGACATGGAGGGCGCCCGCAAGGTCTTCGACTCTGTCATGGCCGACCGGGCTGTCACCGCCAACGCTAGCCTCTTCCAAGCATTGTTTGAGGCCATGGTTGCAAACCACAAGGTTGTCGACACTGAGGCCATCCTTGGTCAGATGCGCCGACGAGGTGTTGAGATGACTCCTTACATCGCCAACACGCTGATCCACGGCTGGGCCGCTGAGAAGCAGATCGAGAAAGCTCAGGCCATCTACGACTCTGTCGGCCATGAGAAGCGTGAGCCCAGCACATACGAGGCTATGACTCGTGCTTACCTCGCCGTCGAGGAGCGCGAGAAGGCCAAGGGCGTAGTTGGAGAGATGCTCTGCCGTGGCTACCCCAGTGCTGTTGTCAACAAGGTGCTGGAGCTTCTTGGCGGTGGCGGTGGTGAGGAAGCTGCTGCACACAACTAAGTTCACTCCAACACCTGTCTTGTCTACCTTGTTCGTCAAATCATCGAATCACGCATTGAGCAGCTGCTCTGCGTGTTCCCTCGATGAACACATTTCCTTTGTAACTGCCCTCATCTACCGCGTTGCTTGATACCCCGTTGTGCTTTGAAAGTAGGTGGACTGAGGGTGCCTGGCCAGGATCGGCGGCCAGTCTGGTTTGCGGCAGTGCGCCGAAAGCATTTCATATCGTCACATGGCTTTGGAATTTGGAGTTTGAACCGGAAGTCGAATTCATACCCCCATAATCGGGATACTGGGTCGGTACGGCGTTTGTCGGAAGCAAAAGGGTCACGGCGACTGAGCACCCGTTCAGGGGCTTTTTATCGGAAAGCGAGCGATGACGGCCAACGGCCCAAACTATAGACACAACCCCACTCAAGCATAGTATAAAAAAGAGGGCGCCGGATAGAAGCGCAACGCAGCATAGAGGATCATGAATGGACGGAAAGGGTACTGGGGGTCGGTTTACGACGACATGTCATGAGGGCATGTGATCCTGCTGTATGTATATTACCGGCAGCATCCAACAAAATAAGATTTGTCGACTGTTCAAACAATTGACCAGCAGTGTGAAGACGATGGTGATGTTTTGCTGTCGGTGTGTAAAGTTCAATAGATTTGGATAATGAAAATGTGCTGACGCACATGTAACTTGTCCTCTATAGTCTGAACAGTATGCAAACTTGAGTTCAATCCAAGTGTCTGTCCGCTGGAACCGGAATTCTGGTTGTCGTTCAGAGTGTACCAGCTTTGGCGATGATTTAAGGCTCCTCGTTGAATTGGAACCAGAGATGTGCACAGTGCATTATTGATGAATCCGCTCCCTCGCACGTGTCCCTAGCACTGTGCGCTCGTTCCTCCCACGATGCGATTTCGCATCCCAAACTTTCAACTACTTAGCTGCCCTCACCTCCATCACGCCTGCGTCATCACACAACCCACCCCTCACTGGGCCTCATCTTACAGCTGTACCGCATATTCAAGCGCACTGAGATTCCAGCCATCGCAAGCTGCGTAACGGCTTTATTTCAATTGGCGAGATTCAAAGGCCGTAGATATCTGCTATCGACCTGCAATCTGAGGTACAGATCTCACATACCCCTCACACAAACCGGACCCAACCCCGAAAAGACATACACACCACTAGATACCTAACCCAAGACCACGTTTACCGAAGAAAAGAAAAAATGACGGCTTCCACGACGACGGCCGTCTCGGCGCCCGGCAAGGTCCTCCTGGCGGGCGGCTACCTGGTGCTGGACCGGGCCTACACGGGCCTCGTCTTCGGGCTCAGCGCGCGTATCAACGTCGTGGCCGCCGAGATCCACACCATTCCGGGCGTGCACCTGACCGAGATCGTCGTCGAGAGCCCGCAGTTTGTCGACGCCGTCTGGCGGTACGGGTTCCATCTCGCGCCCGAGGATGGCGGGATTACGGTTACGCAGCTGCAGGTGTAAGTTGCTTTTGCTGCCCCTCTCTTCCCTCGGATCTTTCGGTGTGTGTGTTTTTTTTTTGGGTGGTTTTTGTGTAGTCTGTTCGTCATGAGCTTGGGGTGTGTTGAGGGGAACTGTATGTCTCAAAAGTTCTTCAAGAGTTTCGGTGCGGGGCTTTGGTGGGATGTGGTTGATGAGGGGCGGGCTTTTGAGATATTCACGCGGCAGATGAGTGTTGGGTCGTGTTGAGATTTCGCTGTGCTCTTGCTATGCTTTTGCTATGCCATGCCCTCTCATATGTGCCTGACAATGTTTCCGCTAATGATCAACTTCATCATCACATTTCGCAAGCATACTCACCCCAGATCTCATGTTGCCTCACTCACTCTCACTCTCACTCTCACTCTCACTCACCTCACCTCATCACTAACCTCCTCCCAGCGGCTCCAAAATCAGCCCAAACACATTCGTCGAGACGACGCTAAGCTACGCCCTCACCTACATCGCCCGCATCAACAAGCAGCGCCCAAGCCACGCCCTCACCTCAACCCGCCTCATCATCCTCGCCGACAACGACTACTACTCCCTGCCCTCCTCATCCAACGACCCGGACTCCGCCGTCTCCGGCACCGCCATCCCGGCAGCGAAGAAGGGAACCCGCTTCGCGCGGTACCCCCACACCATCGGCGAAGCGCACAAGACAGGCCTCGGCTCCTCCGCCGCGCTCGTCACCTCCCTGACGGCCGCGCTCCTGACGCATCACCTCCCCACGTCGCTCTTTGATATCAACTCCGAGGCGGGGAAGCACACGCTCCACAACCTCGCGCAGGCGGCGCACTGCGCCGCCCAAGGAAAGGTCGGGTCCGGGTTCGATGTCGCGGCCGCGGTGTTTGGAAGCTGTCGGTACCGCCGCTTCTCGCCCTCTCTGCTCTCTGATCTCGGGGCGGCGGGCAGCCCCGGGTTTTCGGAGGCGCTGGTGAGGAAGGTGGATGAGTTGCTCGCGTGGGACGTCGAGGTCGACAAGGCTGGGACGGGGTTGCCTGCGGGCGTGTGTCTTCGCATGTGTGATGTCGATTGCGGTAGCCAGACGGTGAGTATGGTGAAGAAGGTGCTCGAGTGGAGGAAGGCCGACGCGGAGGGGAGCAAGGCGCTGTGGGATGAGTTGCAGGGCAAGAACGAGGCTCTTGCTTCGGCGCTGAAGAACGGGGAGACCGAGAAGGTCGGCGGCGCGGTTGCGGATGTGAGGAGTCTGATTCGGGCTATGGGGGAGGGGAGCGGTGTTCCCATTGAGCCCGAGTCGCAGACGGAGCTGCTTGATGCGCTCAGTGGTGTCGAGGGCGTGTTGGGCGGCGTCGTGCCTGGCGCGGGCGGGTTTGATGCGGTGGCTTTGATCATGAGGGATGACGAGGCTACGCAGAAGAGAGTCGAGGCGTTCTTGGAGGGGTGGGGGAGGGAGAAGGGGGCGAGGGTGCGGTTGTTGGGTGTGAAGGGGGAGATGGAGGGTGCGAGGCGGGAGGAGTTGAGTACGTATGCTGGGTGGTTGGCTTGAGAGTTGCGGTTGATGCTTATCGACTGAAATATGAGGGAGAAAAAAGCGAGAAATTTGGCGCATGAGAATATAGAAGAGTATGATATTAGCTAGCGTATACGAAAGTTCGAGAGGAGATGCTCGATACACAAACAAAGTACATTGCTTGAACTCTTTCGTCAAAATTTAGTAATGCCAGCCAATACAACTTGCGAGTGACGACGAGCTCCAGGAATTCCGACGCAAGAAGAGACTGACTGCAGGGTCTCTGCCTCGAAGTCACAGGGATCATAAAAATCGAGACAACTTCAGACTTGGAAGCACACCTCACGATACCCGGAGGCGTGAGGTCGTCGTGGAAGATGCCCTTGGGTACGAAGGGTACCTCTCTCTTCTCCGGGCCTCCGGCTGCGGGCCCGGGACCACGCGCAACACTACTAGAGCTGCGGAGCTCCGAAAGATCACCAATCAAAGGTGGCGGACATAGCTCAGTTGGGAGAGCGTCAGACTGAAGTCAACTTCAATCACTTAATCTGAAGGTCGTGTGTTCAATCCACACTGGCCGCAATCACTTTTGCGGATTACGCCAATTCCGCATCTACGAGTCTATAATGGCTCTTGTTTCATATGACATCTTTTTTATTTATCTAATTCGAGCATTGAAGCTCTTCTTCTTAGCCAAGACAAGTCGAAAAGGAGTGTGCTCTTAAGGTTCCTTGAAAGATCTGAACACCATAATCGATATATCCCATCTATTTCCTCTTCCTTCGATGCACTTCAGAGTCGATTATGTCGGCACCTGTGACACGCGTGGATACGACACTGGGCACATTCATAGATGTACTCTGGTAATCTGTCGCGACACTCCTCACATCGAAAACTACCGTTGCGGCGCATCCAGGTATCGTGAGTGCATTCGTGATGTGCGACGAGGTTGCGCGCCTCTCTTTCGACACGCCGAGCTCTAGCCGCGGCGTTCAAGTTAATTGCGCCGGCCTCCCGATTGACAAGCACGTTAGCGCGGGCATAGAGCCGCTCCTCGTTCCAAAGGTCACAGGTGCATGTCTTCCACCGCAGGCTGCAGAGGTAACAGAACTCGGATCCGCAGGGACAGGCTGTTTTGTTTGTCAGGAAGGGAAAAAATACCTTTGCTCAGCTTACTCGTCGCACTCATCGTGATGTAGAGCATGCATGGATGGGCAGGGGTAACGCGAGAGGAGAGGGCTCACTGATGTGGTAACACCCGTGGTTGAGTTCCACGATCCTTCGGCAGGAGAAGCAGCGCTGCCACTTGTTGGCGGCGGCGACTTCGAGAAGCGCCTGCATCAGTGTGTCCTGCGCGCAGTCTTGGTTCCCGTGCTCGGCGCCTTTGCACATCGTGCACGTCTGCTGTTGGCACTGCGGACAGGTTCCGACGTCGGCTCTGATGAACTCCTTGGGGATGAATTTGGAGCAGGTCGGCCTGTGGCAGTACGTCCTGTCGGGCGTCGAAAACTCGACCTCCTTTGCCCGGAACTCTCCTACCAGCTTCGGGGGTAGTAGAACCCTGGCATGGCCTCCGTCCACGGGGATAGGCAACTTGCAGCATCTCGGCGGGAAGAGCGACTCGTCTGTGAGGGAGAGCTCGAAGAGGGTCCGCAGGCAGTCGCGGCAGTAGTTGTGTTTGCATGGAAGCTGAGCGACTGCTACCGGGTGGTAGGCATCCTTGCAGCTGTCGCATGTTGTCTTCTTCTCTCGCCTGGTCGGTCTAATCGCTACCGCATCGGTTTGTTTCCTGGAGGCCGCCCACGATGACGACTCTGGCTCTTCCTCCGCTTCCTCCTCTTCCTCCTCGTCGTTCCCTTCCTCGCCATAGTCAACAGAGACGTAGAGAGATGCGAGCTTTCGTAGAAACATCTCATCTTCCGCGTTTGCGGAAGACTCCTCTGACAAGACGGGAAGATTCGTAGGAGACGCGTCCTTGCCGAGTGTTGCCCCTTTGCTGAGTCGAATAGCCGCTTCTCTGTCGCGAGTGGCCTGATTCTCCTGTTTCGTGAGAATCGTAATGAGACGACCGTCGGATTGATTTGCTTTGACCATGCTCTTGCACATACACCTATCCGCCGCGAGCACAGCTTGCGACTCCAGTTCCGCGTGGTATGCATCGACGGCCAGGTCGAGATCAGAGACCTCGTCCACTCGGCACTTGCCCTTGCTACTCTCCTTGATATCCTCCAAGTCCTTCAACTGCATCTGGAGGACCAGGCGGAGCGACTCGTCGTCAATGTCGTAGCACAGCATTGGAGGCTGGGGTGGGGTTTCCGAGATACTCATCAGTTTGTACCAGATAAAGACCACAAGCAAGACAAGAAAACAGCTTTCCTGTAATAATTCGTGAGGTTCAATGGGCTCGAGTTCGAACTGAGCCGATTTGAGATCTAAAGGGAATACTCTACTCGCGAGGTGGGTGATGATCGAGTGCATCACCGAGGTTAGTCAACTGGTCGAAGGATAAGTTCTTGGAGGAAGTACAAGATTAACGAGGCAAGAGATTGCGGGACTTGCGTGATGATGCCAGTTGAAAAGGCGAGGCCTATCCTCTTACTGTTATGTTGATTTGCTCATGTGTATTTGACTTTCAGGGTGCATGTTGCGTGGAGGGCCTCCGACATGAAAGTCAAATCCAAACGCGTGGTTAGATGCTTCCGTCCAATAGCTAGGCCTAGATCACACACGGTGAACCTGGAATTCCTTCAGATATGCAAGGGCTATTGAGAAGCTTGCCGATCATGACAGAAGCTTTGCATCCGATGATGATTCCTCGTGTGCCTCTTCGGGGCTGCGCCGCCGTGTCTCCCTCCATCTTTTGAGGGCTTGCTTCTTGGCTCGGAAGTGCTCTTCATCTAGGATGATAATCCATGAAGTAAGGCCAAGAGATGTGAATATCCCGTCGATCTCGAACAAGCATCTATACCCATATGTCTTCTCCTTAAGGCTACCACGAAAATAGGTACCGCCGTCGTCCCGAACACATATTTCGATCGCTAGTTTGTCCATGGACACATCATGTTCCAATTCAGTCGCAAAGCTAGTGAAAAGGAAAAAGAGAGGAAATATCGATGTCCATGGAATTCTAGCAATCGAGAGGAAAACACAGAATAAGAATGGTTCCAAAGAGGTAGGTCAGTAGTAAAATTCCCCTCTGGAAGGGGAATCTTATCTAATGATTTGTTGGCTCGGTTTCCTAACTGAAAGCGGAAGGCCGACGATCTGGCAATGCCTTCACCAAGCGAGACAGGTCCTTTTCCTAGTCGAAAATTGATACTGCTGAGTCGGAAGAGAGCGAGGTGGAAGTCGCGCCCGTGCTTGAGGTCGGCTCTAAATTCGTACCTCAAAAGGGCACTTCCGCCCATCGCCACTCACTCTCGACGAACTCGGATACGGCGAGGAATATACGGACACGGAAGATAGACTGAGAGTCTGAGAACCATGAAGTTGGAGAAACATGGGATCGGAAAGCATTGACGAAGAGAACGCCTAATCCAGCGCGTGACCAAGGGAATAACCTGGGGGATATGCCCAATACAAGAGTTCTACCAGCAACGCTGGAGAGGACCCGTGTGCCAATGGCAAATTCTTCACACTGCCCTCTTGTAGATTTGTCTCTGCCTAATTGAGATACTGGATGAAGATGCCGAGTTGAGCGCCGATCGCGATGCCCATGAGCAAAATCTCTCGAAGACATCATCGCACCAAGCCAAGACTATCTCAGCGTAAACCGAGAAGTAAGAACGCTCGACGCAGACGACTGAGATCTGGCAGTATTAGTAGAGAACGATATTTAGCAATTCCTCAATGGGATAAGGAGAGACGAGAGTATGCCCTTCTTAGGAGGTAGAACTAGAGTATAACATGATGCAGGAGATATCTACCTTCGGCTGTCTCATCGTGATGAGAGGTGGGAACAACCAGACCGGTACTACGGAGTACAAGATGATGTCTTCCGTTGAAGGTGGGAAAAAAACGGAGCCTATTTCAACGGTGGCCCGAGCACCCCTGCATGAAGCTAAAATAGGGGTGGGGCTTATCTAAACACCGAAAGCGATAAGACTTTGCTTGCCTGAAAATTTCCACCAAGTCTCGGCAACCCAGCGCCTCAGTTTTGCGACCAACGGCAAAATCTCATCGACAAAATGGCGGACGATGGCATGATTCTCAATTTTGACATGGGCAGCGGCCCTGTCAAGCCCCATGTCAAGATTCAGGGTGGTCGCTGGCGCGACAGGAATAAAGCCAACCGGATTGCGAACAAAGGCACTGAAAAAGAGGCTTCATCAACAGCAAAAGACGATGCCCCGCTACCGCAAAGATACACGCCTGGATCCAAGAAACCCCAGAGGTCAGACCGCCTTGGCGACGACGACGACTCTTTTGAGCGCCCGGCAAAGCGAGCGCGGCCAGAGCATCCTCATGCGACGGCTTACCGGACTGGAAAAATGCCGCCTGGCAGCATCGCGAACAAGCTGAGAGACGGCCAAATCTCATCGAAGCTTTTCTCTTACAACCCCACGCCAAAGACTGTCTTCGATGAACCCGGTGCTGAGAAGGTTGAGGAGAAGGTCGCTGAGCCTTCAAACGCGCCGCTTTCCGATGAAGCTGCCAGCTTCCACGCCCTCGGTATCTCAAGACGACTGGCATTGACGCTCTCCGGCAAGATCCAGCTCAAGGCACCGACAGCTATTCAAGCCAAGGTCCTTCCTCAACTCATCAAGGAAGACAGCGATGCCTTTGTGCAGGCGCAAACAGGTTCCGGAAAGACCTTGGCGTATCTGCTGCCCATCATCCAGCGGATTCTGTCGGTTGAGGGTCAGATCAAGAGAGACTCGGGCTTGTTCGCCATTGTCATGGCGCCTACCCGTGAACTTTGCAGGCAGATCGAGCTCGTGCTCGCAAAGGTGCTCCCGCCGTACCTGGTCAGCACAACAGTCATTGGTGGCGAGAGCAAACACTCTGAGAAGAGCCGCCTGCGGAAAGGTGTGAACATCCTCATCGCAACACCCGGTCGTTTGAGCGATCACCTCGAGCATACTAAAACTCTCGACGTCGGCACTGTGAGGTGGCTGGTCCTTGACGAAGGCGATCGTTTGATGGAGATGGGTTTCGAGGCGGAACTGCGCACCATCGTCAGCAGGATCCGAGAGAACCCCCTGGCAGACAAGACAGCGAACGGCGTGTCCCTCGCCAACCTCCCGCAGCGTCGCGTGACCGTTCTTTGCTCAGCCACCATGAAGATGAACGTTCAGAAGCTTGGCGAGATCAGTCTGGAGGATGCGGTCCACATTACCACATCAGGAGAAGATCATGTCGAGGGAGAAGAGATCAAGTTCGAGGCTCCGGCGCAACTGAAGCAGAACTACTTGATTGTGCCAGCCAAGTTGCGGCTGGTGACGCTCATAGCACTTCTGAAGTCCACATTTTCAAGGAAGGGGTCGGTGATGAAAGCCATCGTCTTCTTTTCCTGCGCCGACTCAGTCGACTATCACTTTGATCTCCTCCGTCAACCGCCGAAGAAGGAAGAGAGCTCAACTGATAACGCAACGTCTGCAACCGCAAATACCGTCGCGTCTTCGGCGTACATCACATCGGCGGCGAACACAAATATTGTCCTCCACAAACTGCACGGCTCCCTCCCTCAACCAGTCCGTACGGCTACGCTGGCGTCTTACAGCAAATGCACAGACCCGACAGTCCTACTCACTACCGATATTGCCTCCCGTGGTCTCGATGTGCCCTCCGTCGAGCTCGTAGTCGAATACGACCCCGCCTTCAGCGCAGACGACCACGTCCATCGTATCGGTCGTACAGCGCGTGCCGGTAAGCCCGGTAAGGCGGTCCTCTTCCTCATGCCTGGCTGTGAAGAAGGCTACATCGACCTCCTCAAATCCAAGAACGCTTCACCTCCCAAGCCTGAACTCTACGACACTATCTTGCACAAGGGCTTCACGACAGGCATGGAGTTCCCCGTTGAGACGGATACCAAGCCCCAGCCCGCGACCGACAGGGGCTTCAGCAACCGCGCCGAGAACTTGCAGCTTCACCTTGAGCAGAGGCTTCTCCTCGAATCGGCAACGAAACTCCTGGACGAGGCTCGTAAGGCCTTCCGGTCGCACGTCAGGGCGTACGCGACCCACATCAAGGACGAGCGCGTCTACTTTGACATCAACGAGTTGCACCTGGGTCACTTGGCAAAGGCGTATGGCCTGCGTGAGGCGCCATCAGGCATCGGACGTGGCGGCCACGACAGCAAGAAGGCGGTTATGAAGCAGAAGAACGCCGGCAAGAGAAGAGGAGACAGCAGGCCCTCGGGTGGCAACGCGATGGAGGATATCGATACTGGTGCTGAGCCAAGCGAGATGGAGAGGAAGATGAAGATGAAGATGAGGGCTGTGATGAATGCGGCCAGTGAATTCAACCTGGGTTGAAGGATATAAGTTTGTGATGCGTGTATTTTGTTTGGGCTGGGTTACGGATGATAGATAAAATGGGGCATTCTCATAGCGTTCAAAATACTCATATCCCGGATCGGGTACTTTTCTTTTCTATCAAGATATCTTTTCTGCGATGCATTTCATTCGGATGATGAGTTTCTATTGATGCTTTGACAGTTATGCAGAATGCGGGGCATGCATTAGGAGATAGTTATGCAGTCTTTGCATAATTTGCGGTGCATCCGCCCAGTCTCACCTGGAAGGCGCGACGAGCTTCATCAACCACAGCGAGCTGATTGGACTGCTCATTACAGGCAGTCGTGAACGAACATCTCATTCAATTTCAACTAACTTTAATAACATCGGCTTGAAACCTCACGATAATGAGAGTTTCTCGTCTACAGCCCCATCCCCTCGGACCTTTCACACACTATCTAAGCCATGACGCGACGACTCCCCTGGGACCGTAATGCACTGGAACGGACGGCAACCCAGAAGAAACAGACTGCAACGACACCTCGCAGAACCGCGACACCGAATCGGGCTGTGTCTCGAGCAACAACAGCTGCTACATCGCCACTGGATCACTCGAATCATAAACCAGCCCGCTCAAATGGTTTCCTTGAAGGTATGAGTCGCGCCTGGTCACATTATTTCTCTCGCTGACTTGGAACTCTCATAGGCAGAAGCCCTTCGACTTCACCACCGCCAGAACCTCTCACAGAAACGTACTTATCCCAATTCCCACACTGAGACGTACGCAGCGCTCAAAAAATGCATAGGTTCATGATAGACGGTCTCGAAAGCGACGACAAGTATCGCATGGTCGAGGACGAGCTCGTCACAATCGCAGGCCACTTCACAGCACACCTCCACGCAGCAGAATACCAGCGCCTCAAAGCCCAAACACGCACCCAAAACGCAGAAACCATCAAGACCATTTCCCGCCCCGTAGTCGGGTCCCTCACCGAGCTCGCGCGCAAACGTCAGGAGGAGCTGCTCCGTAAGAAGAAGCAGCGCGAGGCGCTGCGCCGCGCAAAGAGGGACGCCGGCCGCGACGACGAGGACACTGGGGATGAGACGAGCGTGCCGTGGCGGGGTACGTCGCTGCAGGGGCTCATGCATAGTCCCAAGAAGAAGGAGGTGCCGCTGATGGCGCTGACGAGGACGGATTCGGGGGTGAGGACATCGGCTTCGGGGCTGTTTGGGGGCGTGGTGAGGTCTTCTCAGAGTAAAATGCCGGCGGCGCCGGCGAAGAGGAGCACACCAGTGGATGAGACGACGACGGAAGATGAGAGTGATGACCTTGGAGGACCCGTCAAAGCTCCGGTCAGGAGGGAGACTGAACACAGCCGACCTTCAAGATCGGCTTACCCAGCAAAAACCACGGCAAAGGTCCAAGGCCGACCCAGCAATCAGCAACGAACAACTCATACAAGCACCGCGCGGCTACCCGACGCGAAAGCGTCTTCAAATGAAGGAACAGCGGCTCCGAACCCGATCTCATCCGCTAGAGTGGCTACGAACACACCACCTACGAATGATGAAGACGATGACGATGACGACGATGATGTCTTTACTAGATTCAAGAACCGGAGAGCCAACTCGAGGCCTCAACGGCGAGCTCCCGTCAAGAAGGAAAAGCCAGACTCAAAGGAAACCGGAGACATCATTCCCTCGTTCATATGAACATCTTGTGCAAGGGAACTCAGTCAGCTACTCTGAACAATGAGTCTTTGTATAATCTTTGAGAACCGTCTCTCCAAACTCATGGGCTTGGAACCGCAGTGAGCACATGCTTTTGAGCCTTCTTCTCGACCTTCCACGGTGATCTACCATGCTCGACCGGAGTCCTAGTCTCGGCACAGTTGGAATAACCAAGTGGAAGAGTATGTATACGAATCCCGTGAGTTCTTCATTCACTTTTCCTGAGAAGATGTCGGAATTTGCTTTGTATCTGAGCCTGTAGGATCGAGAGGTTACCGTGGGATCATTATGGTGCTCTCCATCAAGGTGGCTCTCTCTCTTAAACTTGCGACTGACATTGGATCTAGTGTTTCCCGCCTACCCTACCAACCCTATCAACCGTGTAGCACCTTTCTCCGACGCACCTATTGACAGATACATGCCTGTTGAAAGACGATGCGACCCTGGGACCCTTTCATTCTCCTAGACCATCCACATCCACTTCATCAACAAACTTCTGGCCCTCCAAAACCAGACCTCGCACCCCCAGCATCCTTCTGAGATACGACAGGAAACGTCCCAACCCCCGAGTATGGCTTCGACGATGGAAGAGGAGATTTACCTCGCCATGCAACATGTCTTCTTCAAAGAGCACGCCGAGATCCGTCGCTCCAAGGCCATCCAACGCAGAATCCATTCCTGCTTGAGCCCACCGATCAACGCTCTGGACTTGAAATATACCCGCCCAGTCGTCGTCAGTACGTGCCAGGAGCTCCTTGAAAAGGGGGTCTTCAAAAGCAGATGGAAAGCAGAGCAGCGGTTTCCTCAATTATTTCAACAACCCCCACCTTCACCACAAGTAGCTACACCAGCGAATGCGCCAGAGACGCCGAAAGCTACAAGGCAAGAGAAAGATTGGAAGGAGGAGATCGTGGCGCTCATTTCTGAGAGAAAGGCGGAAAGGACATCTCGGCTGCAAGCCGCTATTGTAGGTCCAGGACGAGATGCTGAAGAAAATACAGCAATTCCGGAATCTTACATTAGTCAGGCTACAGCGGACGTGGGCGACGCGGCAAGCACCACGACAAGCAGCGACACCGTCATCTCCGAGTCAACGGCAACAGCAACAGCGCGACAGCCACATATAAAGACCGCAGATTTCCCCGTGCTTTGCACCGCCTTCCTATCATACGAAGCCCAACATGCCCTCCTCACAAGGATCCAAAGCCTTCTAGAGAAGGCCTGCTTCGACTACGCGAAGCAGGCGCACCCCAAGATCCTGGAAGCAGGACAATGGGAGTCGCCCGAGCGCGTCGAACTTCAGAAATGGATGTGGATCTTCAAAAACGAGGTATTTGATACATTCCAGGCTGAAACGGTGCCCCTGCCGCATATCGACTGGCACGCCTTCTTCGAATCGATCAAGCAGATTCGGCATAAAGCCGTCCATCGCGAGGTTCTTTGCGTCGCGGATGTGAAGGCGTACCTCGCTGACGCGGAGAGCCTTGCGAAGCTGCTGCGGCAGGACGAGTGTCTCGCTAAGCTGGGGTTCTTGAGGGAGGAGACGGAGATGGTGCTGGCGGTTTCGGAGCGAAAGAAGGACGGGCTGGCGGTCAAGTATCAGGCCAAGTTTGATGAGATTGGGGTGCGGAGGAAGGAGCTGGATGAGCTCGAGAAGCGGACGAGGGAGGAGATGGTGCGGGAGCATAGGAGGATGCAGAGTGATCTCGGGTTTGGGTTGAAGCTTGCGGTTGCGGAGATGAAGGAGACGGAGGTCCCGGGGAAGGGAGGTGAAGTCGGAGGGGATAAGGCAGAAAGCACGAGCTTCTGGGGGCTTGCCGATGGCCTCTGGAAATTAGCTTCTGGCCGGTGACCTAGGTTCCTTGCGTCTGCCACGGCGAAGCGAGTTCAAATACATGGGCTTATTAGGTTCTTTAGATGGTATATAATCATAGACGCAGGGAGCAGGTGACGGCACTTCCTACCTTGCAACGCAGCCATTTGATAATGATACCGCCTGGTTTCGATATATCATAGCTCATGTTGTGACCGAAACACTATGTCGAGAGGTATCAAGTGTCAGGTACAAGAGAGAGCATTGATTTGTCTGAGGCCGACTCCCGCCATATGGGGCTTATTCACTGTTGTATTGCATCCCAACGACGAGCAATGATGCCCCTATTTACCGAATACGTAGATATTCATTATTTAAGACACCGCAGTCCCAGACTGATCGAGTCGGAAGCCATGCTGGAATCAAGTCTGCCCATGGGAGCCTCTCTGCCAGCCCTGGCGACCTCAATGCGAAGAAGTTTAGCAAAACAATGACGACCACCTTCATGGACTTCCCGGATGCCTACGAACTCATGAAAGAAGCTCTAGACACAACTTTCCCCAAAGTTACCATCAGTGGTTCTGAGATCGCCCTTTGCCTGATTGATAAGGCTACGAATGAGACCCGTGGTTCCACCACCAGAAAGCACACCGTCATCGAGATCTCGGACGACGAGGAGCCTATCGAGACCCCGACCAAGAAGGTTCGCCGGACTCAACTTAAGGATGAGATCGCCGCTCGCACCGCTTATTACATTGGATAATGCTGTTACACTGATCCTTCGAATATGTGTGCGCCAGTCTTTCTTATAAGGCTGATCGAGCACCCAACCTCAGCGGGCGCCTAAGAAGTCGAAGAGTCGGTGAAATCCAGTGTTAGCCTCCCCAGAACCCATCATATCTTTCTTTATTGGCCTCACGAATATATGCACATGGGCTTGTAAGCTACCTGGCCGAATATCGATCGTCACGGATGAGACAGCGTGTATGAGCACGTCGTCAACAATGAGAAAAGAGAGAATGGACATCCAAATGGGAAACCACCGGCTACCGGCTGACTCTATTCATTAAGGGCGTTGGAATTGCTACGGCTTACTATCTTTACCGTACCAGATTAGCAATGGTGATGCTCGTCCACGGATTCCTCCACGGTCGCAATGAACCGTTCAGCCACAACAGCGCGGGCGGGAAGCGCGCGAGTGGTCAGCTTCTTGATCAGGTTGGTTCCGTCGAGGGCCAAGGCGGACAGAACATGGGAGGTGGTCTATCCATGAGAGTCAGTAATTAAGCAATTGAAATACTCTCGCATTGAACCTCAGACGACTTGCCTTTGCGTTGACTGTAAGCTGGTCCAGGTCCGGGTTGTTGATGTTGTCGCACGGCTGGTGATAGCAGGGATCCTGCGCAGACCCCGTTCCAGTGTGAAGGCCACCAATAGGCTTGCCCAAGACCTGCCAGAAGGAAGCGTAGTCACTGCCGTTGGTGAACCTCGCGGCAGTCACATTGATACCCTTGGCGACAAAGTCGGCGGTGAAGAGCTCCTGGATGACGTCGGAGCCGGGCGGGGCCGGGACGCCGTAAGACGCGCCGTCGCCGTCGAAGACGCCGTAGTATCCCTTGGCGACCATGTCAAAGTTGAGGTAGGCCAGGATGTTATCGCGCTCTTGCGTGGCGAGGTTGTTGACGTAGTAGCGGGATCCGATGAGGCCCTTTTCTTCGGCGCCCCACCACGCGAAGCGGATTTTGTTGTTGGTGGTGTATTTCGTGAGGGCCAGGAAGAGCTCAAGGAGGAGCGAGGTTCCGGAACCTGATATTTGTAAATATTTGAAAGTTTGTGAGCGTCAGTGAGTTTCGTGGGAAACAAGGTCTCTTACCGTTGTCGTTGATACCTGGACCCCATGCAACGCTGTCCAGATGGGCGCCGAGCTAGAAACTCGTCAGACGTCTGAACGACACTATCCAGTGCGGGCTTGACTTACGACAATCACGTTGTTCTCATCACCGCCTTCCGTTTCAGCAAATACGTTTTGCGTCACACGGCTGTCGACAACCTCAGCCTCCCAAAAGAAAGCGTTCAGCACCTCCCCAGCCGCCAACCGAGCCTGGAGCGGATTGCCAATGTGCTGGTTGACGAAGCCCGTAGGGATATACGTCCCATCATCAGCCGGACCAAGGTTCCCAGCCGTCAGATTCAGCGCGATGTCATTGACAACAATCACGGCACTCGCACCCGCCGCAGCAGCAGGTTTCATCACACCAGCGTGGAACCCATCCCGGTACCCAGGACACACCGACTCCGTCACAATCACAATCTTGCCGCTGACGTCGAGGTCGGCGTACGAAGCGGCCTCGCAGGCGGCGGTGCCCTCCGGGCCCGCGACGAGCTGCGCGGTTATGCCCTCGGCGGGTGTGTCGGGGGACCCGTAGAGGCCGTAGATGGTCGACTTCTCGCCGTTGATGGTGAGGTTGGCGCGGAGCTCGGTGTTGTAGGTGGCGGAGAAGTCCTGTTTCCAGACCTTGGCGCCGGCGGCGCTGGAGATGCGGTTGAAGATGTAGTCGACGGATGCGGCGTAGCCTGGGAGGCCGAAGGCGCGGTTACCGCCGTTTGCTGTTGCGATGTCGCTCAGTTGGACCAGGTTGGCTTGGAGGCTGTGATCATGTCAGGAACGAGTTTTGTGTGAAAGAGGGGAACATTGAGCATAGAGGCATACTTCTCCTTAGTGATCTGCTCTTGAAAGCTCGCGGAGTCGACAAGGGGCTTTGTAGTCTGCCTCTCCTGGACTGCGGCGCTGACGCCAAGAGTCGCCCAGGATGTGAGTACGGTTGTCGTAGCCAAGAACTTCATCGTGGCGGCTGGCGGGTTGTTCCTCCTGTCTTATCAAGATGGCGACAAAGTCCGAGAAGCAAGACACCACAACTCAGACTAAAGTCGCGGGACGAACCGCACCTTAAGTCATCGTCGTGGCGCCGCCACCGTCTCGCTCTCGTGTTGTGCGATGCTGCTTGAATGGCATGATGGCGCACCTCTGCGGGTACCCCTGAAGCGGTCGAGATGGAGGATGAGGAAGGTCGCAATGGGGAACCGGGCACTCTAAACCCAATCTTTATCGCATCCCGAGGAATTCATCCACAACTCTTCAATGCCAAGATGTTGTTTGCGACCATGTAATCAGCGAATCTCGTAAATGCAATGTGGGCATTGGGATTCATTCAAAGCACACGTTGGACGATATATGAATTGATGCAGTCGTATTATCGTTCTCAATGATGCGATTCTAGCTTCCCTTTGCCAAGCTATCGGTCTGTGCCATTCTGCCTTGCAACGGGATCGACATTGTAACGTCCCGGCAATGCAAGGCAATGCAACGCTTGATTTCACGTCTGGGTAATGGGCAGTTGGGCACAGCAATTGGGCTGGCGCGAATATGACTCGAAGATCTCAGAGCGACTCGAAGAGTGCATCGTGAAGTGAATAGAGGTATAAATTATCATAGCAGCACTTAGAACCTCAAAGTCAGAGTCTGTTGCAAGGATCAAAGTCGACTGTCTCCGAAAAGAGGTGTCTTTCGTGACTGGAGAAACTCGTTTGCAGCATTCTCATCCCACTCGGCATCCCTTTACGGCGAGACAATGCCCTGAGGCTTGACGATTGTGGCAGTCGCAGCTGAATTTCAAATCAACTCAGCTGCCCAGGGCCTTGGATTGCAACCCATCTGAGCTCAAATGTCAACGTGGCATTGATTGAGATGAACATGAGCGACTCAACATTGACCCAAAGTTGAACAAAAAGGAAACTTCTGCTCACCGAATAGCGGCGGTTCCACGAGCTTAAGTGCCGCGTCGGGATTCCCGTTGCCCTGAATGCGGGCTCCGAGCTTCGTTGATCCATGTTCACCGCGAGACAAACCAGCCACACTCAATCCGACACTTCCGCCAGTCTATTTTGGTCACCGTCAACTCAAGAGCCTCCAACACACAACACAGCGCACTGCGCCAATGTCAATGGTCATCTAGTGCCAGCTCTTGGTCGTGGTTGTTCCTTGTAAGCCATCACCTAAGAAGAACCACTTCAGCGAGTCATTCCATGAACCACTATCTTTGATTCTGAAAGGTTCAACGGTTCGATTTCAGGATTGTTTTCGTCTTTGTCGCTTCGTCGCGGCCGGAGCCCGACAATACCCACTTGCCGGGCGATCAGGAGGACTTCTCAGCTGCTCGTCTCGTCTTTCAGAACCTGCAAGGCCTTGTTTGACAGCGCTAAGTTCCAACATAGAGGAGAACATGACGTTGCTATGGCAGATAGACCGGGGCTGCGACAGTTGGGATCCCTGGACCTTGGTGGATCAGGGCTTATCGTTGACTCGTATTTGCCCGTAACGGACGGCCTCCGGAATGCCACCCACCGGCTCGCCGGCTCTGGGGCATCTCATCAATCTCCAGCCTTAACCGCAAGGGGTGGGAGTCCATTGCGACAGACGGACTTGTTAAAAACAGCTTGGTAGCCGATGTCGCGTGCGTTCAATTCGCCTATTGACATTTGCTTCTCCTCGCTCTTCTCTCACCAAAAACGAAACGGCCCGCTGCAGGCCCATAGATCAAGCTCACGATGGTCTCATCCCTCTCCGCGGCTCTCGCCCTCCTCTCCGCTACGCTGCCATTGACCTCGGGTACCGCGATCGTCACCCCGCGCCAGGCCACAGGCGACGCAAATTGCCAGAGCGTGCACATATTCCTCGCGCGCGGGAACAACGAGCCCTACCCCGGACGCCAGGGCAAGCTCGTCACCGCCATCTGCGACGGGCTCGACAGCTGCGACTACGAGGACATTCAGTTCTACAACCCACTCGAGGCGCCTTACTGCCAGTCCATCGAAGAAGGCGCCGCCAATGGCACCGCGCAGATCACGGCGTACAACAAGCGCTGCCCGGACGCGAAGCTCGTTGTGAGCGGATATTCCCAGGGCGGCCATGTTGTTGGTGACGTTTTGGGTGGTGGAGGTGGCACGTTCTTCCAGGGTTGTCAGCAGAAGGCGAATGCTGGGTTAGATGCCACAAAGGCGCCCGGCAATAAACGTAAGTTTGCACGTGTCGCAACTTATGAGGACGGGGAGTTGCTAATACCGGACCTTTCACAGTCGCTGCTGTGCTCATCTTTGGCGATACAAGACATACGGCCAGCCAACCGTACAACTATCTCTCGGGAGCTCCGGACAACGGACTCTTCCCACGGCCGGAGAACCAGCTTGCGGGCATGCGGGCCTTTTCCAGCGTGATGCGCTCGTACTGTGTTGAATCCGATCCGATCTGCGCCGGCGGAGACACCGCGGCCAACCACCTCAATTACTTTGATGTCTACTCCAGCGACGCGGGTAAATGGGTGCAGGAGATGGTTGGCAAGACAGACACGACGACGTCCTCATCGTCCTCGAAGACCAGTGCGACGTCGATCTCGTCAGGACCAGCGAGCTCGAGCTCACCGGCGAGCGCGACGCCTACTGCAGCATCATCGGCTGCAGGAGGATCAACCACGGCAGCCCCGACATCTGCTGATGCTGCATCTGCGTCCTCTCCTACTCCGACATCCCAGAACGCGGCTGGAGCTCTTACATGGAATGTGGCATCGCTCGGCGTCACTGTCCTTGCCTTGCTGGTGGTCGCCGGCCCTGTTTAATCACCGCGACGATTGGTGCATTGTCTTTTCAAGCGAGTCATTTTCAGGAAGAGGAAGCATTTACGCGAGTACATGAATACATGATCCAGGCATACGCAAATTAGATTCAACATACCTCCAGTACATAATACCTCAAACAGTTGGGTTGAGACATAATGTAAATATATAGAAGGCATACATACTAATGTTGCTATTGAAAGCTGAGAGTTTCGATTGCTTGGTGACCATATTCTTTTTTTGGCGATACAACTTTGAATACAAGTTTGACGCGTCTAGGCTTTGATTGAAGCAGTGAACTCAACAATGCCACCTATGAACAACCGTCAGCCAGATTCTGATCTGTATGCTCAATTACAAGCGAGACCAGTAGCTGCAATAGCATCACATCGACTGATCGATAGAGTCACACCAACCTATCGCATTTCAGGCGTTGCATCCACTTCAAATCCCGCAAATTACAAGCAAGCGAGCAACTTATTTCCTCGAACTGAACATGAGGTTATTCTTGGATGGAACGGTTTGAGTTTCGTGAAAATAAAATAAACAGCAGGCCGGTATCTCTCATTATGCAGTTGCCTGTGTTTGGCGTCCATCTGCGGGGGTTTCTTGCAACTTCAGGCAGAAGCACTGCGCCCTTGCTATTGGGCTGACAGATGGGCGCCCTTCCCGTTACACGAATTGCCCGCCCAATATCTTCGACTTGTCACGACAAACGCCCTTCAAACCACATCACAAATGCGGTATTTTTTGTAGGAGGCCCTTTCTCCTGCTTTTCGATAAAAACTCCAATTGTTCCATCTGGCAATACTCACTCGTCTTCATCATCAAGATTTCGACATCGAACCACTTCTAGCTTTGCATTCACAACCCCGCATACATTCAGACATGGCCGAGATCAACGACCTCATCTCCGTAACTTTCCGTGTTGCAACCAAGGACGACGCTCCTCAAGTCGCACAGCTCGTAGAGGCCGCATTCCGCGCCGAAGACAGCCGAGCAGATTGGACGGCCGACATGGAACTCGGCAGATCGTTCCGCTACTCAGCTGATGAGGCTCTCGCCACCATCATCAACCCGGATGCAGTAGTCCTCATGGGCTTTGACTTCCACGGCGTCCTCGCGACCTCGGTCCAAGTTGTTTTCAAGCGTGAAGCCCAAATGGCCCGAATTGCCATGCTTTCCGTGAATCCCCAGCTGCAGCGCAGCGGTGTCGGGCGTCAAACTCTTGACTCTGCCCAGGCCTACGCTTGGAAGCATTACGACATCAAGAAGCTTGGGTTGAATGCCCTTTCATCTCGCGAAAAGTTGCTCGCGTGGTATGAGCGCTGTGGATATCGAAGGACAGGAGAAACTTCGCCGTTCCCTGTTGATCGGTTCCCTCGCCTAGATCTTCCGAAAGATTTGTGCTTCATTGAGCTAGAGAAGGATGCCACGCCTGTTGTGGTTTGACCAAGGCTTTCCCAAGGAAGTTACAGAAATGAACTCAAGGTAATATTGTTTTGGGATACCTGCAGTCGAAGGACCTCTATCGTAGAGACTCCTCAGGATCTAGACGTACCAGCAACGACGGACTTGAGAATGTTAGGTCAGCACAGCTTTGAGGTGTTTCTAAGATCTCGCTAACGTCTTAAAGATCTTTCTTTATCAATCCTCAAGATGCGTTTCGAGTACAAAAAAACGCCGTTACATCCTCAACTTTTAGTCTTACGACTATCGCACCCAGCCCTACTACTCTTACCGGATGCTTCTTTTGTTACTTTCTCTGATGAAAACATCTTTGGAAGCCTACATAGGAAAATCTCAATAAGGCTGCTTATGATGGTAAGGGCTTGCTTATATGTTGATCGGCACGAGCAGTCAGGTGGTCAAAGAGCTTCTTTTGATGCAAAAGGGGCGCGGGGTTTCTCTTCCATGTCAGTCATTTCTGTGGACCAAAACATTTCCTTCTATTACATTGAGATTCAACTCGCTTAGAGAGTAGTATCTTCAGACGTAGCCACTTACGATCGCAACCTGAAATACTTACCTAGACAACGGAGTCCAACGTGCTGCATGCTTGAATTGGTGAGGTGAATAACGTCAATTTGAGGGGAGAACATGTTATTCTGTTAAGTAGAGCTTCTAAAAGCACAGAGTGGCGAGTCCCTCTCCCAACACTACCTGCACTCGTTTAAGAGCACTTCAAATTCTTGACTCGCAGCTGGCCAACACCAGGGCCGACGCTCTCAATGTTGCACAACGCTTCTTTCTTACCCTCCAAGACAAAGTCCAATGTCCTCCGTAAGAGTTCAATCTCAATCTTGGCCAACACATCGTCGTCTATGGTGCCCAAAACCTGCTTGATGAGATCGGAATACTCTATGGGCAGAGCCTTGACGGCCGGAAGTTGCGGAGCGTCAAAGAAAGACATGTGGGTTGTCCCGTTGACGACCAACATCAAGGACGGGCCGCGCAGATTAGCCCAAGTCTCGTTCCAGCCGGAAATGTAGTCAAACGTCGTCGGTGTGCCGACCAGCACCAGGGGCTTATCGATTCCCTCGGCCAGGACTGGTCCGAGCATCTGACCGTCGAAGTTGAGGCCGCCGAGGATGCGGTCATCGACATAGAGGGATGAGGCTACCGTAGCGCCTCCGAAGGAATGACCGGCGATGAAGATCTTCTCTGGGTTGATGGAAGCCTGAGTCCCAGCGAGGAGCGGTGTAGCTACCGAAGGGTCCAGAAGCTGGTCGATTATGAAAGAGACATCTTTCTGACGACTCTGTGGGATAGCGATGTTTAGCATCTTCGATTCGACATGGCTAGGCTCTGCAAAAGTAGACTCACCTCAAGAAGGCTCTTAACGTAAGCCGTGTCGCTATTCGTCGCGTTCTCCGCAAATCTGATAACTCCATCAGGGAACTCAACGATCGCGGCATCGTACGTATGGTCCAGAGTGACGACGATGTACCCATAACTAGCAAGAGACCGCGCCAGCACACCATGCGCAAGTCTTGAGCTAGCTCGTCCGTGTGAGAAGAGAACGAGAGGGTACTCTTCATTTTTCTCGGCCCCGGCGCAAGAAGTATCGATGTTGCAGAACTCAAGCTCCATCCCGGAAAAGATGGTGTCCGGTAGTCCAAACAGGGTCGCGGCCCCTTGGCCGAGGGCGACTGCTGTGGTAGGCGGCACATAGGGAACGGTTTCGATGGAACATTTCGATTCCTTCTTCAGGGGAACGTGGACGGAGACCATAACTCTGCGCTTCTCAGGTTGGTCTTGAGGGGCGTGAGGGTCCCATCGTGCTGCGTCTTCGAACGCTTTCACCCGCAAGGCAACGAGGTATGGGCCGGGAGGGCCTGGGATGACGACTGCTGAGGCCATTAAAGCGAATGAAGAAAAGATGAAGAACAACATGCCTGTGTTCCCGGTGGAGATTTTACAAGTACATGATGCTCAAATATACTTACGACCGTCTAGATATACGCTGAATCCTGTCCATGCAGTGACTCCCAGGTCATCTGAACCGCAGATGGAATGATGACATCGGCGTTTGGGATAGTGCACATGACCAGTGAAGTCTTTCTTCTATGCTGACTGTATGATGATCTTCATGAGGGGTTGAACCAAAGTCCATCCCACGTATGCAGCTGCCCGGCATGGAGACTTTCTCCGGACAGGCTGTGTCGTGTCCGAAAACCAATCGACCCCGTTCCGTCTATCGCCCACTGTCGCCGGAATCTTCCGCAGGGTGAGTGAGATTAAGGCACAGTCGTTCCTTATTGAGCCTTGGCTTTGTCGCGGACGAATTACGCCCGAGGCTGACATGTACTCTTGTTTCGACGGCACAGCAGCATCGTCTATGAGTCAAGCCGGTAAGTTGAACGAGTAATTAAGGAATCGGAATTAAGCTGATTGGCTAATATCATGTGTCCTTATGTTAACCAAACCTTGCAGTGTACATGAACTTATGTCATCGACTACCTCAAGAAGGCTTCCACTTTTGCTCGAGTATCTATGCTATTTCAATTAATCCCATCTACCTTATCTTGAGTAGGCACACCTATACAGAACATTGGCGCACTGGTCTTCCAATACCTAAGTACCAGCAATATTAATGGATGTGGAAAAAGCGCATTGAGGGCAGTTCTATGCTTCCGATTGGCATTGGAAGTAAGCTAGGACGAACTAATGGGACGAACGATGCATGTTCTAGCTGAATCAGCCAATACCAGATGAACTTCACGACGAGATCGTTGGCTCTGCAAGCGGTATGCTCCCTTTTTGAGACCAGAAACTACGTCAATCATCAGTGAACATATGTGATTAGGCTGGGTTTTGATGATAGCGCACCAAAATGTCATTTAGGCGAGATGCCGATATACGATATGCATTCGAACCAGTTAGATGCATTCGCACTAAGAACCGTGTACCCATATTAAGAACCGTATGTTTTATTGACATTCTCGCAATTATAAAAACTAAGGAAGACCAAGACGTTCACTTGGTGCTAACGAATGGCTAAAGCAAGACTTCGCAGTAGAGGCTAACATTCACTCACGTATTCCACTTACCGCCTCATCCACGTATTCCACCTGCCATCTTGTATTCTTCCTGCCGTCTTGTGTTCTATCTTCCGTCTTGTATTCTGTCTTCCGTCTTGTATTCTGTCTTCCGTTTTGTCCTCTGTCTGTCGGTGTATATTCTACCTACCGCCTTTCTGCGTATTGTTAGTAGTTCCGGGTTCTAAACGTAGCCTCGACCAAGAGGGCGGAGAATTCCGTGGAACTGGGTGAGCAGGACCGGAAAACGCCAACTACTAGATAGCGAACGCTTAATGGAATGGGAAAGGAATAGAAGGAACCGGGCTGTTGGCCAAATCAACCGCAGGCTAGCAAATCCAACCTACATCACATCCACTTATGTTCTTTCTCGTTTGAGCTCTGGCATTGCGCCGATTCTAGTGTAAGTCCATGTGACACCGCAACTGACAAAACTTGAATTTACTCTCTACCTATCAGAGCCATAAGCGTAGTGCGCCTCGTCTCATGAATTTGTTCTCCACTTTGGACCTTTACACCACTCATCTCGAGACTCTTGGGAATGCCCCGGTACCCCTATCTTGGAAACCCGGAAGCACCAGTGTAAACACCTTACTCCTCCCCGAATACTTGGAACTAGTCAGAGTACTTTGGTGTATTCAGCCCAGTCTTTACCGTTTCCACAGTTTGCGTCTTTGCACCAGAAGAGATGCTTGGTTGTGTCATCCGAATCCGGCCTGTAAGACTCAGGATCCAGCAACTTGGCTAACGGACTAGTAACAGACGAAGGCTTCTCATCAGTCACCATAATGAGATCTGAAGAAAAGCGGGATAGAAATATCTGGCGACCAACTCTTCCCCATAGGTACGAACTCGGGCATATCCTACAGCGAACTTTGTGTTCGCTATGTGGCAGGAGCTCCGCACTACTCTCTCGACCTCCCGCTCTTCTCTAGTCTCGAGACGCCCAATCCGGCTGTTTCCGCCTAGATAGCCGCAGTGACGGGGGTCGAGAGCCCTGAGTAGTTGAGAGGTGATTCCGTGTCGGCACAAGTGAGAGCAAAGGACATTGCCGTACTTGGTTTGAAATTCCTTCAGCTTCTGCGTAATGAAGCCCACAGTGATGGCTTCGTTTTCGACTATCCTAAATAACGGCAACTCCCACGTGACCATCACTCTGCGTAGCCAATTAAAGATCCTTGGTAATGCGTAGAGTGCTATTGTCGGAGGTAGAGGGATCTACCGAGAAGTAGCCCCTTTGTGATGCAGGGTGGTGGTGTCTTGGAAGTCTGTGCCTTCACACTCGCGGCAATCTTTGGCCGCAAGGAATACATTGTAGTCATATCTGATTTGACGGGCTTCATCTGAATCGGCTTGCTTCGAACGTGTCTTATCCCAGACCCAAGAGAACGGCACCGTAAGATGAGAACAAAGCCGTATGAACCCGTCGTGCGCGATACACTGACGAACATCTCGGCGCTTCTTGCGCTCTTCGGCAGAGAATACCAAGTGCCTGTGGGGCAATTCACAGCGAGAACAATGCATTTCATCCTGCTTAGTGTATCGGTAATATGACGATAGGTGGCACGCGAAAGTCTCCTTGTCAGACACTGGGAGCAAAAAGCGTGCGGTCTGGCTCGCAAGACGGTGGCTGGATCTTTCACGAAATTACCTGTCCTGCGTGCCCGGGAAATGGCCTCTGAACGCCGGAACTTCTTGACTTCTTTTCCCTGATAAATATGCCAAAAGGTAAATGATGCTTGGCGTACCATGTAAAGATCGACTGGCTCAAGACCATCCATTATGGGTAGCAGCAGCTCATCAGGCAGCCGGATGATTGGGCTTTGACGACAGTTTCTGTCAAAGTCGATCTCCCAATAAGGACGTTCGTGTGATAGTATGAGGTTCTTCCGCTTGTGGCGTCGATGTCGCTTCAGAACCTATCAATTCTGAGCTTCGGGCTCAGAGCATGCCGAATCGGGGTTGCCACCGCCCTTCTATTCACCTACTTCTACTTCGGAGGGCTTAGAAGCCTCCCCAATTCTTCTTCCCAACTAGCTAGTTGTGATACTGACTTTAGAGGTGGCTAGCTCTTCTTAATTTTGTTCTTAAACAAGCCCGCGAAGTTAATTACTCAACTGACTGCGTCGAAGATAAGAGTTAAGACGGGACCGGACCCCATATCCATAGCTTCCTTCGGCTTCTTAAGGTGTATGTTCCGCTGAATAAACAAAGACCAAAGAAGAGGGATGATGATAACGATAATAAGAAAGGCAAAATTTTGATATGATGATAAGAGTAGCAATGGGAATCTGGAACTTTTGAGCTGCGTTTTATTTCTACGTCGTTACGTACCTGCCTATGTCCCTCTTTGCGTAAGCACCAAGCTCCTATGAGGACCGTGGTATTGAATCCAATGCCCGCAGGCGCTGCACTCGTAATCAACTCAACTTTGAGTCTCAAGTTGGACTAGTTGAGAGAAACGATTTGATAGTTGTTTGTCTGAGTTGTCCAGTTAATTAGTTGATCGGGTTGAGTTGCCCAAGGTGGAACGGAACGCTCATGTCCCCAGTCATTCTGTGTCTGCGCCAGAAGGCCAAAGCTTACTGCGACTCCCTCTCCATCAGCATCGAGATTCGAGACGATAAAAGCAACAACAAGCTAGGTTTGACTGAAGTCAAGGTAAGTTTCGGCTTAAAATCTTACCTTCCGATATTAGCTTCACCCGAGCTGCGAGCCATCGGCTCCGAATGATCTGGTTTGCGTCCAGGCTCCAGCTCTGCAGTCGGCGTTGACACATGCAAGCCCTCGACGATGAAGAAATTGCCTCTTTGACTCACATGCATGCTGAAGAATTATTAATACAACGGCGCCGACATCGCTCACATTCGCAGGGGTCCATTGCACCAAATTTCGTCGTCAATCTGGAAACCCATCGTGAATTCCAATTGAGAACCTTGGCGGCTCTCACTATCAGCCTGGGAAGTTAGTCACATGCTGTGGAGCTGGAGAATTCGAGAATCGCTCTTTTATTTCAAATCAAGTCGATGAGATCAACCATTGACGAAAACCGGGGCCGACACGTGTGAGATGGGGCCCGCCCACCGGCGGTGGGAATGGAGACACTGGAAACAGAAACGGGTCTGGCAGACGGGCCGGGGGTGGGAACTTGGGAAGAGAGTGGATGGGCGACGAGAAACTGGGTCGGTGATGTTTCGCTCGAATCCCGGAATTGCCAAGAGTGTGGGGGAAAGGTTGTAGCTCGGGGGCAGTATTGGCTGACGATGGTCTCAATGGCAATGAGAGTTTGAGGTCGCAGGTCACCCGAGTCCAATGTCCTACGTAGCGAATGCTAGAATGGACGTTTTCTTCTGATCGGCGAACATAGACCTGACCCTGAACCATGGAAGGCGTCGTAAGAAAAGATATCTTCATGTTGATATCGGGAAACGGCGACCAATGGAGGGTTGTGGGTGTGTTACTGGGATATCGTTACCCTGGACACAAAGCCTTGGCCTTGTGCTCTGTGTGCTCTACACACCATCAAAGTGATTATCAAGAAGGTCCGAAAACCGGCGATTTTAGCCATGATCGTCACCCCAACAACCCGACGCGGTTTCCTTTGAGGTGCTGTCCGGCGGCTTGGTCTACTTCCTCTTCCACTTAGCGTTGATATTCACAGTGCGTGCGAGTGCCCAGCCAATGGTCTCGACTTTTCCGCGACTTTTCGCGGTGGGAGGCAGCAGTCGCAAAGTGGGGTGGGTGTGACGTCGTGGACTTTATAAGAAGCTCCTCCCCTGGCCGTTTTGCCTGCAGTTGGGTAAATATAGCTGTGGTAGTTACGTACCGAGGTCCGTATTCTGTATGAGGTACCTTATGTAAGGTAAGGTAAAGTGAGGTGATTTAATAGGGTAGGCGCGTACATGCACGTACCGCGTAGCATCAGTGGAGGGGAACGGGAAGGAAGGAGCTTCGGAAGAGCAGCAAAAACAGCTGAGGAAAAGGCGATTTGCGGGGTTGTCTCAGCCAACCAGGAGACGTCCAATTCAATTCTCCTCACGGAAGCCGTAAAGGACAACTGCAGTCTATGGGAAAGAACAGACAACAGACGCAATGGGAGTTCCTTCCTGAACCACACAGCCCCGCTTGGTCGCATAAATGGGGGATAAATGGAGCAAAACGGGGTAAAGCGATGGAGCACAGCCGGGTCGGAGCGAACGGAACACAACAGTGAACATTCAATTCCGCTGGGTTCCGATGTCACTGTCTAACGCACCTTACCCCAATGTTCCATGTAGTTGTGGTAAGGTATTGTATGGAGCAGTACCCCGTACCACACATTTCACATGGCGGCATGGCTATCCGCTGCTTATCACCTCTGTTTCAATTGGACGCAAGGGTCCTCACCTCACATTCCCGCGCTCCATACTGCGTACACCTTGACCTGCAGCTACAGACAGTCCAAACTCTGCCACATCCCATCTCTGTTCTCTTACATGCTCTTTGGCAGTACTGAACACCTACTGCCTCTTCCCCGGCTCAGAGAGCAAGCGGCAGCTGTCGAATGGGTCGATGGATCCTCCCCGCACGGCATATCGAATCGGCCCAAGCTACTGTTCCATGCTGGTCACGCAAGCTCACGGTATTGTTGCATCTTTTACAGACTGTGAGGCTAACGCACCAATGTGGCAATCTCTCCGACCTTTGCTAGGGGCCGCCGACAAACATTTGAATGTCCGCGTCATAGCTACATGAGCCTGCTCTACCCGTTCCCTAACACCGCGATAACTTCCCTCGGCCCCCCACAGCATCCAAGTGGCCTGCGCCTCCTCGAGCACATCTCGAATCTCCGAGCCGGTATCGCGCTGCAAAGCCTAGATTTCTACGTGACCAAACTGGCGGGGGCAATGAGACAACGAGACAACGACTAGCCGTTCGTCGGGCGTTCTCGAACAACCAAAGACCAAAAGACCCTTGAGAAAACATGGCCGTCGCCTCCCATCATTTGTCATTCCGCCCCGAGCTACCCTGAACGCCTTCCGCCCAAATCTCAAGAACCCCCACCCACACCAACATGACTACGGCATAGTTCCTGCTGTCACACGTTAGTGCAGCATTAATAGGAAAGAGATGAAAGTGCACAGTGGTTCTTACTATGTACTCGGCCCTTGACCACCCACCCCTCAACCGCCAACAAGATTCGGCCCATTGGTCATGCAATGAGTGAGGGGGAGGGGGGGCCATGGCATAAAACGCGGGGTCGCCTCCTTCCACTTGCCGAGGATTCCTTGGAGCGAACTCTTTTCTTTTTTGCCTTCTCTCCTTCTACACAATCCGACGATTGACGGTTCAAAAGAAACATCAATCCACCTTCTACCAGGCAACACATCGAAACACATACCAAAGAAAACAATACGCATAATCAGACACCATGGCCGAGGAAAAGTGTCCCTTCATTCGGACCATGAACACGGGAGGTGGCGGCACCAAGAACCGCGACTGGTGGCCCGATTCCCTCAAGCTCAACATCCTTCGCCAGCACACTCCTGTCACCAACCCGTTAGGTGGTGACTTTGACTACGTCTCTGCCTTCAAGACCCTTGACTACGATGGCGTCAAGAAGGACCTGACGGCTCTGATGACCGATTCTCAGGATTGGTGGCCCGCCGACTTTGGCCACTACGGAGGTCTCTTCATCCGTATGGCATGGCACAGCGCCGGCACCTACCGTGTCCACGACGGTCGCGGCGGTGGTGGTGAGGTAAGTTGCTCCGGCAAACCCAACGGATCTCTCTTAGCAGACGAGATGCTAATGATCGCTCCTCACAGGGTCAGCAACGTTTCGCCCCTCTCAACAGTTGGCCCGACAATGTCAGTCTTGACAAGGCCCGCCGCCTGTTGTGGCCCATCAAGCAAAAGTACGGTAACAAGATCTCTTGGGCTGATCTCATGATTTTGGCCGGAAACGTTGCTCTCGAGTCAATGGGCTTCCAGACCGCTGGATTCTCTGGCGGACGTCCCGACACCTGGGAGGCTGATGAGTCCGTTTACTGGGGTGGCGAAACCACATGGCTCGGCAACGACGTCCGTTACTCCCACGGTCACGAAGGCAAGTCCGAGCAGGGCGTCCTCGATGGCTCCCAGGACACCAAGAGCAAGTCAGACATTCACACCCGCGATTTGGAGTCACCACTTGGTGCTGCCCACATGGGTCTCATTTACGTGAACCCTGAGGGCCCCGATGGTAACCCCGACCCGGTTGCTGCTGCCAGAGACATTCGCGTCACCTTTGGACGCATGGCTATGAACGACGAGGAGACGGTTGCTCTCATCGCTGGTGGCCATACTTTCGGCAAGACCCACGGCGCTGCTCCCGATAGCAACGTTGGTGCCGAGCCCGAGGCCTCTGGTCTCGAGGCCCAGGGTTTTGGCTGGGCCAACAAGCACGGTACTGGCAAGGGTGCCGACACCATCACCAGTGGTCTGGAGGTCACCTGGACTGCAACTCCCACCAAGTGGAGCAACAAGTACTTCGAGTACCTGTTCAAGTTCGATTGGGAGCTTACCAAGAGTCCCGCTGGTGCCAATCAGTGGGTGGCCAAGAACGCCGAGCCCATTATTCCCCATGCCTTCGATTCCAGCAAGAAGCAGCTTCCCACTATGTTGACGACCGACTTGTCGCTCCGCTTTGACCCCGAGTACGAGAAGATTTCGAGACGTTTCCTTGAGAACCCGGATCAATTCGCCGATGCATTCGCCAAGGCTTGGTTCAAGCTCACTCACCGTGACATGGGCCCGCGCTCCCGCTATGTCGGACCTGAGGTTCCCTCTGAGGACTTCATCTGGCAGGACCCTATTCCCGCTCCTAGCTCGCCCCTCGTCAGCGAGCAGGACGTTGCAGCTCTCAAGAAGGAGGTCCTCGCCACTGGCATCGATGCATCTAAGCTCATCTCCACTGCCTGGGCTTCAGCCTCTACCTTCCGTGGAAGTGACAAGCGCGGTGGTGCCAACGGTGCCCGTATTCGCCTGGCACCTCAGAAGGACTGGGAGGTCAACAACCCTAAGCAGCTCGCCGAGGTCCTCAAGGCCCTTGAGGGTGTGCAGCAGAAGTTCAACGGTTCCGGCAAGAAGATCTCGCTAGCTGACCTTATCGTCCTCGCCGGTGCTGCTGGTGTCGAGAAGGCAGCCAAGAATGCGGGCGTCGATATCAACGTGCCCTTCACACCTGGTCGTGGCGATGCCACCCAGGAGCAGACCGATGTTGAGTCTGTCGACTACCTTCAGCCCTATGCTGATGGCTTCCGCAACTACGGCAAGTCAGGCAACCGTGCGAAGACCGAGCACTACCTTGTTGACAAGGCACACCTCCTTACGCTCACCGCACCGGAGCTCACCGTTCTCGTTGGTGGCCTGCGTGTGTTGAACACGAACTTCGATGGCTCATCAACTGGTGTCTTCACCAATCGCCCTGGTGCCTTGACCAACGACTTCTTCGTCAACTTACTCGACATGGGCAACGAGTGGAAGGCCACCAACAACCAGGATGTCTACGAGGGCTTCGACCGCAAGTCAGGCTCCAAGAAGTACACCGCCAGCCGTGTCGACCTTGTCTTTGGCTCCCACGCTGAGCTCCGCGCTGTTGCGGAGATTTACGCCCAGGCTGATGCCGGACAGAAGTTCGTCAAGGACTTCGTGACTGTTTGGGACAAGGTCATGAACCTGGACCGCTTTGATCTCAAGAAGCAGTCCGGTAGCGTGCCGAGCCGCCTTTAGATGACTAGAATGAAATCACTAAAAAAGCAATGTCGATTACGAGGAAATGAGACCGTCTCTAGCCTTCGTGCTTTGAGATAGCCTAGTGTAGTCTAGTACCTGCAGATAGGAACATGTATTTACGTTTGACGATCACCAACCTCCTTTTCCACGCCCATATTTACAGTGATGATCGAGCCGTATTGTGCATCGCATACAATGTGGTTGACCGCTGAGAAAATCGATGACTCCTTGATGGACAAATTAGTATAGTGTGCTCTCGTACCACACGAGGCGTTCCAAGTCCAGTACGTATTCCATGCTTCTTACTCTACCAGAGATTAAATTCGGAAGTTTAGAGGGCCGTTTTTCACACTTTTACCACCTCGATGGCTCTTTTGAGCTCTCAAATTGCGCCTGTTACACCATACTTTCACGTGACGCCCCAGCTGACCATCTTGAGCGCTTTCCCACTTTTCCAGGTAACGGAATAAGTATGGATAGTTGGTACGAAACTGTGAAATCTTCTGGATCATCGCACCGCCCATCTATTCCTTTGGAGACTCCCTTCCTTTTTGGATCAACAAAACACTTTACAAGAAAAACTTGAAGGTTAAAAGCCGCGTCCATGGAGTCCGCTCTCCACTGTACAGCAAAATGGAAATCAGCCGCGTCATCTTGTAAGTCGGTGTGCTCCGAGCCGACATACTCAGAGCCAGAGTCGACATCCTCGAAGGCCATTTCAATGGCTCTTTTGTACTCTCATGTACCACCAGGGCAACCTGATTGAATGACTACCTTTCAATGCAGAATCTACGACGTCGAATGAGGTATGTCGAACCTATAGTATGAACCTACTATCGTCAACCTGTTTGGGTGACGGAAAAAGTGAATGGAAGTTCTTCTAACGACCAGCACCTCAAGCCAAGCGAATCTTCAAAGCCAAGACTGTCAAGATATACCACATGAGCGATCACATCAGACAATTCATCAATTCAAGTGGATCTGGCGTCTGTCGATATGTGAGATCGATTCCAAACCCGTGCGCACGGTTGGTCTTTACGAGCTCTTTGCTCTTCCTCAATAAAGGTTTGGAGAGACAAGTTCACAAAGTCCTTCTGACGAATTACAGCTGGTATAGGTAAGTCTACGCAAATTTTCGTCTGAATAACAAGATTGAGGCTCCCAGTGCAAGATACCACTACAGGTGTGTTCCACTCATGCAGTTCTAATCTTTGCTGTGGTAGATTGGAAGACCCAAGAAAATGTCTACAGTGTTTCAGCCATAGAGCCGTTTTGCTCTTCGCAGCTACATTTGCTTCCGAATATCAGGCTATAAAACTTTGCGCTTGTCTGTTGCCAAAGCGCATAGTCTCACTCAACTTCTCCTAACACCATCTTGTACAAGAGGCTTCATCGTCGAAAAGGCATATCTCGCAATCTTCCACTCCCCATCTTCCTTCTTCATGATGAAAAGCTCCTGGTTCGCGTGCTCCTCCGAAGCCTGCGTCGCCAACATCGTCTTGGTTCCCTCGGCCGTTGTCCTCGCGAATGCCCAGTCCGGAGACATGACAATAATCTCTTCTATTGAAAACGTGATGACGAGCTGAACCGATGAGAAGATGCGCGTATAGGATTCGCGAAGTGACGCCGTGCCTACGGCAGCTGTGAAGTGAGGCGGCATGATGACGCCGTTGGACGTGTAGAGATTGACGACATCCTCGACGTTGCGGCTCTTGAGAGCTGCCCCGTACGCGTGGAGAACTGAAGTGATGGCTTCGGCTTCAGGGGAAGACACTTCGTGGGGTGTTAGAATAGGCTTGAAGTAGTAAAGACAGCTTATTTGATCACCTACTAATTCCGAGTAAATTGTGAGTGATTAACAGAATGTCCTCAATATTCAATATGTTTTACTGGTTTCTTTTGTATTGAGCCTTTGTAATGAAACTCATGCCACTTATATATCGTTTCTGAAGTGTAAGTGGAGGAGCTTATCTCGGTCGTAAGTGGGAGTCTGATGGCAAGAGTGGGGGTGGACCACGATATGCCATTTCGCGACGTGAAGATATCATCCTTCATTCCGGCTACACTAAACAACGTTTGTGTTACCAAAATATTTGACTCATCGATCATCCAACCTCTGAGATGTGGGTATCGGCAGACTTTGCAACCTGCTCGGGGCTGCAAGTTTTAGCCGTTTATGGGTTCGAACGGCGAAATACATCACATTCTTAACTTACCAAGGAATACGTTGCGTAGAACGATAGGCCTTTGAGGATCATAAAGTGAGTCCGTAGTAGTAGCAAAACGAGAAATGGAACCCCTGATCGCAGTCTGAATATACCTAGGACAAGAAGCAGCCAAGATATTCTTCTAGTCTAACGGTGACGTGGTGGTGGTAGGAGTCTGTTTAATATCCAATTCAGCCCCTGATTCCTCAGGCGTCGTAGACTACTTCAACCTAACAATACTGAATCTGAATCAAAGTCAAAACGACGAGATAGCACGAGATGACTGATATCCCTGACAGCATCCTGGAAGATCTCTCTATCGTCTCTGACTTTCCCTTATGTTACCCTTTTAAAAGTTTCGACAGTAGAGCTTGAATATCTTTGAACGAGCGTCATATTTCTTTGGTCTTTGTCATAAAAGTGAATAAAAAACTTTGTCCTGACGCTATTATCCCGCGCTCAATGGGATACTCCAGATTTAATCTGCAAGCTCATTGCTTCTTCGGCTGCCCATTATTGTAGTAAACACACGAAGACCTCAACCGCCTTCAAATTGAATTGATGTACCCCAACTCAATGAAGCCTCCCTTCATTCGAGTCTAATGGCTGATTGACTTCCCGCGCTTTGGTGCAAGCGTCTCTGCTTACCCCCTATCAGACCTTGCCCTAAGTGCTCGATGGTATTCATGTAGCTGCCGACAATACGGTATTGTTGTGATTCCCTTAAAATCTGAAATTTCACTCTCCAAATCATCCTTGTCGGAAAACTCCAGTCTTCGCTCAGAGACTGGGAAAGTAGCTACCGGCCGCGTCAGAGCACCTGTAAGCTGGGTGTTGTCACCAGTGGCTTGTAAGCTCTCTAGTCTTGAGAATAGGTAGGATTGAAGATCTTCCAAGAAAACCGCGATTCTCAGAATGAATCACATTTCTGAAAACGAATTCTCATGACGTGAGCCCCGGCACGGCAGACCCGAAGACCTCCTTGTCCTGGCGGCTGGCCTGAAGTGAAGTGACTGATGCTCGATTCATTGACGCCCGCTTGTAGCTTGTGTTCTAGATCAAATAGACCAGAGAACGAAGGCTATATGAGCAGGTCTAGACCATCGCTTAGCGCAATCACCGACAGGATGGGAGGGAATCATCAATTCCGAGGCTCTGGTCGCCTGGTAGATGTAACGGCTTTGATATTAAATTCTGGGGCTGAGTGGGTGGCACAAGCTCCCCCCGACAAGTGACCGGGGTGTGAAAAGGGCGGGGCGCTTGGGCTCCGCTGAAGAGCGAGACCCTTGACTCCCATGACTCCTCCTCCTTACATTGCCAAGTCTGCTTTTGAAGACTTGAATAAATCCTTGACTGTGTACTGTTTTGTTGTATTAATTTGTAGATCTGCTGAATTTAAATCTCCCAAGGCGAACCGACTTAACAACCATTCTTTGATTACGGTACCGGCGTCAGCGGGTGGCTTTCTCTGTTTGCTTTGTAGGATCTACTAGTAGTAGGGCTGGGCAAACTAGCAGTGCCGCATCTGTAAGGGAGCAAGCCACTCGATACTGGCGATCGGGGAATAATGCTGCGATCGCTCTGTGGCGTCTTTCCATCCAGACGCTTGAAGACTTGGCCTGGCACACTCCGGGTCCTAGCCTACCGTGCCTACGTCGGCCCCCAGAGCCCCGGAATGGATTTGTGCGACTTCACGCAAGACAATACGGGAGGGCGAGCCAGCGATTGGGCAACACTGCCAGAAGCTGGTATGATGGGCTGGGAACTAAAGTCCACTACCACGGAAGAAACCCTGTCTTTGCCCTGCCAGTCTAGCGAAATGTCCCGCGATCCTTCAAGCCAACATTGATATGATCCAATTGTGCGGTCTTGAATGCGAAGTACGAGCCGAACCAATGCCTACTTGTATGTCACTCGTGCCTCATCCCACCGGCAAATATAGTTAACCCAGCATCAGGGTCTGGGCCCACACTCTTCAGCCCGATCTGATCTTCTTCTCACGCTTCATACCTACACTAGGAACGGGTAACCAACGAATTCAGAGCGATTGCACCTGGCTGTTCTATCGTCTACAGCAGCACTCAGCAAGTGCGATGAAACAAGATGGCGGCTGAGCTTTACTTTGAGCAATGCTGGGCTATTCTGAGCACTATCGGCATCTCGAACGTTTTCCTGGGCTTCATCGTCATCAGCATCACGAAATTCTCAAGCATCGCGCTGGTCCCGATCATCACGAGCATGGCCTGTGCCATCGCGAATGGGCTATGTTTCCGAATATTCTACACGGATAGTTCACCATTGGACAGGGCGCTCGCGTCCGCGTTCGCCGATACTTTCTGGCTGGTACAACATCCGCCTGACCCCTGACCGCGAGTTCCATGATTAACACCCAGTCCAGGTCCAAGAAGCCGGCATATCATTCTACTCGTACGCCATGTTGACTCACATGTTGACGGGCCGCAGTCGGACAATTTACCTGACGGCCTTCTGGATTCTGTTTGCCGGCATCACCGGCCTTCGCGGCACGATCTTGATAGCTCGAGTCGTGGGCATTTACGACGAAACCAACAACACTGCCTCGAAGGTTGTCGACTTTGCTCACGTCGGATATTTTGTGCTCCTGGCGCTTCTGGAATGTCTGAGCGCCTTCTACTTACTCCGGAAATTCGCGTCGACGAAGAAGAGGTCGTTGAGGGCTGCGCTGAACATTAGCTTGTGGGGTCACTTGATGCGCAGCACGGAGATACGAGTGTCTTCTCTGGCATTGATCGGGGTGTCGAGGTCCATCACCTACACTTTCCACCCGTCGCTACTGAACACGCCTACCACGACTCCCAGACAGATCGACCGATTTGTGTACACCTTGGAATGCATCTTTCCTGTCATTCTTTAGTGAGTCTTCCTATCGTTTCGCAAATGGGGTCTATTTCATTGGCTTACCTTTACATGGCAGTTTCGATCTGTTAGCTTGCAAAATCCAGTCCGAGAGTCATGGAGCAATAAACAGCCATAACATACGGCACGTGGAAACACCAAACATCTTGAGAGATTCTGTTACTGGCGAGCTCAGCAGTACAATCTCGCCGTCTTCAGAAAAGCCTCTTGAGAGTTGTAGAGAAAGTAGAAGATAGGGTTAACGTTCGAAGCTATGTGGCTTGAGAAGTTTGACTGAAAATTTGTTACTGGACTGCTGCAGGTGATAACCGCACCTTGCATGAGTTGCATTCGTGGTCTTACTTATTCTGGCAGGCTCCTAGCCGTATCTCAAATCACACCTTGCTGGACTGCATGTTCCCCGGGCACAGTTCCCGAAGCCACCGCGGGTTGACGTAGTCTAGCTAAGACAGCGTAACTTGAGTGGGCCTATTGCCGAACCCCTCTTGCAAAACCCCTGCATAGGTGCGGTGAGTTGATGAACTATCATACTCTGCATCATAGTTACGATATGTCCCCACTCAAAGTTCCATTACAATCGGCATCTACACCAGGTATTTGACGCAAGGAGGCCCCCCATTTCTCGATCGGTGACCGAGCCTCACGGCTATACTTCCCGAACTCCGAGAAGCAGAACAACATCCTGGCTCTGCCCTGTAGAGCTCCTGATTAGAAGGTAGCGGTGACTATCAATGCTATGTGGCATTGAGCCCCACAAGAGTCTAGTGCAACGAGTTTATTGAAGTTGAATCCGATAGGTCCGCCGCTCTGCTGACAACTCAGACTGGACTTTTAGTGTAGGTGTCAGAGATTCTTCACATAACACAGCCGCAAGACGCGACGTTGAAAATGTGGATCACTAATACGGGTAGATGAAACAAGGTTTTGTTTGATCGTTTCACTGATAGGGTGCCTCTAAGTCTAATAAAGCGGAACTGCAGATCGGCTAGAATAGGGGTACCACAAAACCAAAGTGAACATGTTCGAATTGTGCCCCCACGTGCCTCTGACTCTTCGACTACTCTAGAATACGAAAGCTCAGGAGACAAGCTTCATTCAGTCTCCACAACCAATGTAGATGCAACTCTTGCTGCAATGCTGCCGCATCCCTTGACGACATGGATCTATGCGCGGATAACAGACACTACGCAGTAAACAGCACCAAACCGCTGACACGTGTAATCGTGGCGCCTCAAGCAATCGTAGTTGGTATTCCCTGTCTAAAGCCTACAACCTAGGAGAGACTTGATGCCTTGTTGAGGATACTACTACGTAGGAAGCTGTTGCACTTCCGGTGGGCCGCGATGTTGTATACTTGACAACGAAATTGGGCACTGCTGCATGTAATGATCCGCTCAAAACCGCTCATCTGTGAGCGTTGCGTAAAGATTTACCCTCACACCCTTGATCAAATTCTCCTCATGTTTTGTGTTCGAGTTTGCGGGAATCTCAAGGCGGCCGAAGCCTGACAAGGGTCTAATGATTGTGGTGGGGACAATCATTCAGTTGCCGGCTGAGGGAGGTTTGAGAATAGACGATGTACTGTAATTATCAATGAACTTTTCAAATTTTGATTATCCTGTAACACTAGAAATTTACTGCCAAAATCTATCCCCTCGCTCCAGAACGATAGTCTTTGGGGAGGCAGAGCTGTAGTTTGCTAGAGGCCGCCTTGTCTATGATCCCGAATTTCCCAAAGTGACACAAGAAAAGAAATTGAGGCCAGCCCGGCCGTGTGAAAACACTTCATCTTATGTCCCACTGGTTTACCTGTCGTGATCCGTCTTCTCTATTGCGACTTTCCGGTCAATATCTATCACGAGATTAGGTTAGCAGGGAAGATACCACTCGATGAGGGAAAGCGTCCATACCCCTCCCGAGCCCATGCTGTTCCGGTTCTTCCGCTTGCGCCAGAATATCAATCCAGCCATTGCTAGAATAGATGCCGCCGCTGTTTTGAAACGGGTCAGTTTATGGCAACATTACAAGATTCCACATTGTTGTCTCTCTTACCGATGCCCCCGAGTACCCCAAGGACGGCAACACCAGAACCACTGGTGAAGGAAGCGCCTTGCGTTGAGCCGATGGCTGATGGTTGAGGTTGAGGTTGGGGCTTGCTTCCACTGTCGCCGTTCAGGTCATTTGACGGTAAAGGGACAGATGGTGCAGTCACTGTAATCGTCTGGGGCGCAGCGGTGACAAATACTGTGTTTGTGGGGCTTGGGATGACTGAGATTTGAGGTTTCGTTGTTGTGATGAACACTGTAGTTTTTGATATCGACACGCTTGGGCGAAGAGTTGGTGACTTTGGGGGTGCGCTAGAGATTGGCGTTGAAGGAGGAGTAATAGCCCTTGGTGGTGCGCTCGATGAGGGTAATACCGCAGGCTGAGTGGTCGTTGGGATCTGAGGAAGCGTATCCGCTGGACCATTGGATGGAAGAGGAACATGAGTAGATGTTGTGGTGGTTCGCTCAGGAGCTGGGAGCATAGGAATTTCAGAGCCTATGAGAGGTCTGTTCGGAGTCAGAGGTCCTGGCGACTTCACGGCTCGCTCTTGATGTTTCTCTGGATCTTGGACTTGATCTTGGTCTTGAGGAATGTCGAGCCGAAGTTTGGGAGGAGGACCTCTCCTACGGTTCATCGAAAGGCCAACCATGTTGTTCCAATTAGCTGTAAGTCTGTGTGGTTGATCACTGTGAAGAGAATGTTAGTTTTTGGGTGTTCAGTCATTTTAGACCAGAGCGGGAGAGGCGTTTGACTTACACGGATGAACTGTCAATCCCAGAGCGATGGGTTCGGTGGACCCCGTGGGATACCTATCCAAGATTCTGAGGCTGGCGTGCCATGTTTCTGAGACGAGACGACTGGACTTCTCATGAAAGGACTTGGCAGCGGTAAAGTAGCCGGTCTATCAGTTGCTTAGTTGAATCCACGTGGTGGACCGATCAAAGGAGGGCTTGAGCGTCGTGAGGGGACTGTGGCAGATCTTGGAGGCATATGTGGGAGAGTGGGATCCGGAGGGGGTCGCCTGTCGTAGATATCGGCCTGTTGTCGTTGTCATTGACATATCGTGCCCAAGCTGTCGCAGGGATTGTCTATTCTTGGCATGGATTGTCTTTGATTTCTCTCCATTTTCTCTACCTCTTGCCATCTTCGTCTGAGACTTCCCTGCGCGGGTGCGGACGTGTATACTTCACAATCTGCCGCCGCAAAACCTATCAGCCCGGCAGGCGTTTTAGGCTCGGCGCTACATCCTGGAACAAGTTTCACGCTTACTGGACAACAGACCAGTAACATCCCGTAGCGAGCACGGGTTTGCGTATAACCCAACTGGTTCAGAGGGCATTGGGTCCAGAGTCAGCTCTAATCTTTTGCGGCCCCTTCGCCCCGGGACGTGGCCTAGCCGCAAATCACCCTTGGTCGATCAATAACTCTCGAGGCTCGATAAACCTTGTGCCAGTTCACTGAACTTATTTTTGGCAGTATCTGCGGGCTGTGTGGGATGATTTGTCTTGACGTGACGTCGGCAACTGGTTGCCGTTGAACCCCAGGGCGGCCACGGCCCCATCTTCCTGAAGTCGAGGAATTCTGCTGCAAGAGCCGGTGTTAGTCTGAAAATGAACTCCGCAAATTGTCTTGGCCTCAGATAGTGTTACTCTGAGAGTGAACTGTGCTTGGTTTGTGGATAATCGGGTCTCCCGAGGAGAGAGAGGATCTGTCAAATATCATCAACAGTGGTTCCTCTTGGAATTCGTCGTATCTTCTTCAGACCAAAAAGAGAACGACAAGACCTTCATTTTGACATCTCAGTCGAAGGCGCTCAAGCAACATCGCCAAACTCCTCACAGCCATGGAACGCCCTAGCAGTGAGACCTTGGAGTCTCGAGCCGCGAGACCCAGCATAGCCAGAAGGATTTCTGCCACAGCCATGGGCGGCTTGCACCTTCTCACTAGCGACACTGAGCTCTCTCAAGACCGAGACCACGACGAGTACATTTCGCCAACGAGGACGTCCGTCAGAGACCGCTCGAGATCTCTCAGCAGGAGTCTCAGCGTTGCCAGCTCGCGCAGCAGCAACTCGTCCATCTTCTTCGGCCGGCCGAACTCACTGCCTTCCATCACGGAGAGCGAGAATGATCCCCACGGCACTGAGTTCCGTGACCCGTTTGCGGATCAAAACTCAATAGAAGGGCATTCTGCTCCGCGTGAAGCTCAGAACCCGTTCGACGACAACAGCAGTGGCGATGAAGGAACTGCCGTACAGGAGCTGGAGCCAGAACCGCCTTACCACGTCTTCACGAAGAAGCAGAAATGGGTTGTTATCGTCATCATCGGAGCCGCCGGATTGTTCTCTGGTCTTTCTTCCAATATCTATTTCCCAGCTCTCGATACGATCGCACGGGTAAGTCCTGTTCATCCAGCCGGAATCCTTGGAAACTCTCTAATTCACGAAATCTCATAGGATCTCAATGTCAGCTCGCAGATGGTTTCTCTGACCATCACGTCGTACTTGATCATCCAAGGCATCTCCCCGCTAATTTGGGGCTCGATCTCGGATGCTCTGGGCAGAAGGCCAATCTACATCGCCTCGTTCGCCGTGTACATCATTGCCAACATCGGACTGAGCTTCTCTCCCAATTTCACAGTTCTTCTGCTCTTCAGGGGCTTGCAAGCCGCCGGAAGTGCCTCAACCGTGAGCATTGGTAAGTTACATACGGGAAAATACAACCCTTTGTTTTCTCCCTTGAACCTCTAAATTTAGCCAAGAAAAAGTCGTCGTAATTCCTTTTGCTGACCTGTGCAACAGGAAACGGCGTGATCCAGGATATTTCTCCCCCGGCTGAACGGGGAGCATTTATTAGTTTCTACCAGGCGAGTAAGTCACTATGGGCCCTATCGCTGTTTCACACGCATTACGGTGTTTTGCTCGGTGACTCGGTTTTATCTCCTGGTGAGCTCGGAGCTAACACCTCGTAGTCCGAAACTTCAGCATAGCAGTCGGGCCTGTGCTCGGCGGCCTGCTCGCCAACTTCCTCGGGTTCCGGTCCATCTTTGTCTTTCTCCTGATTCTTTCTTCTATAGTCACCTTGGTGATTGTGTTTTGGCTGCCTGAAACCATGCGGAGCATTGCCGGGAACGGCTCGCTTCGTTTGGGTGGCATTTACAAGCCGATCATATGGTACCTTGGCAAGGAGCCAGAGTACCTCGAAGACCCGGATGAACCCATTCCGCGGAAGAAGGTGACATTGATGACCTTTGTGGAACCGTTGCGGCTGTTGATTCAGAAGGACATTTTGATCAACTTGGTGTTTGGTGGCGTGGTCTATACCATATGGACTATGGTCACGTCGAGCACCACCATCCTGTTCAAGGAGCTGTTCGGACTTAGTGACTTACAAACGGGCCTCGCATTTCTACCTAATGGTAAGTAACCTTCCCACCTTCACCTTCTTTCTCCCTTATCAAAAAGGAGACTCGCTTACATGTAGGACAGGACTTGGAACCATTGTTGGATCCGCAATCGTGGGCAAGCTAATGACAAAAGACTATCTCGAGATGGAAGAAGAGTACAAGACATCTCATAACATAGCAGGAACAGAAAAGCTCTCAGGGAAGAACATGCCCGCTGAGTTCCCCATAGAGCGCGCCCGCCTTCGTCGTCTCCCCTGGATCGTCCTCATCTTCGTCGCTTCCACAGGCGGCTACGGCCTCTCCCTCAACTTCCCCTCCATCACTTCGCGATCAGGCTGGATCGCAGTCCCACTCGTCCTCCAGTTCTTCATCGCTGCGACCAGCAACGCCGTCTTTGCCCTCAATCAGACCCTCGTCACCGACCTGTGTCCTGGAAAGGGTGCTAGTGCCACGGCGATTAATAACTTGGTCAGGTGCGGTCTGGGAGCTATTGGCGTCGCGTTGGTAGACAACTTTGTTGCCACCACGGGGCCTGGCGCCGCGTTCTTGGGCTTGGCCCTCGTCACGGTTGCCGTTGGGCCGTTGGCGGTGATACACTGGTACTGGGGACAAACTTGGAGGGCGGCAAGGATGAGGGAGAAGACGTCGAACAACGAGAAGGCATGAGGCCACAAGGTCTCTGCGTTGCATTAGTCGTCACACCTTGTGGCTTGGTGAGGCCGCGTCTGTGACGCCTACCGGTCGATGCATTATCATAAGTCTGTAGCGTTGAGCGTGCATGATTTGGTGATTCTGCGAAAGGAAGTTGAACATCATATTTTGGGCAAAACAAAAAGCAGGATAGAACTCCATAGATTTACATTCCATAGCAGTGTTAGAGGCGGCATCAAGAGTCCACCTAGTTTCACACTTGCACAACTAGAAAATTTCTCGCTTCGTCCCCTTTCTCTTCTCTTCAATACAAGGATAAAATTCGATCCTCTTTGGTGTACAACAGGGAACGTGAGTGCCGAGTCTTGGCGGAAACGAGGTGTTTGACACATGGGTCCGGGGAGAAATCGTGTAAAACCATTGGTTCATGGGCCTCCTTTCCCACACACGATGAGCAGCACACAACCTGACACCCAACTCATGCTGCCAAGCAGTCTGTCGGCTTTCGAACCATTTCGCTTTCGGGAAAGAAACCTGACAGTTCATACATCTGGATCGATCGTATGTTGAGGTTTGAGAACGAATCCAAGCTATACTTGGAAGAAGTCTCCCCATTCTCGGGTATGAGCCCTTGGCTAGTGCATCTATCCCGAGATTTTGGCTGGCACAATCCCGAACATGATTCGGCATCCCGATGTCGCATACCCGAGCGGGGTTCATCTTATCTATAGTCCACGAAGAACACACAACATTGACAGAAGCGGTCAGATCGGACCTGGTCCCGCGCGGCAAAGTTCGCCAGTATTTAATCCATCAATTGATTAGAAAGGTATGCGGATGTTCCTATCTCCTCTTGTTCATCGATGAAAGACTCAACAGCAAGACGTGAAGCATCTTTAGACTGTGTACTCCGCAATCGAGCAATCATGGTGGAACTCCAACAAAACGGGGAGGCAGCTCAGCCTGCGGCGAACATCGAGCAGCAATTGAACACATACGTCGAACAGTATGTCGCAGAGAACCAGGGCTCGCTGCAAGTCAACAAGACAGCCTCAGGGTCGCTACCTGGGGGTACAACTAGATCCGTGCTGCATTACCTGCCTTTCCCATTGGCTTTCTCCGGAGGCCACGACTGTCACCTGATATCCGTGGACGGCGCCGAGTACCTCGACTTCGTGTCCGAATATTGCGCCGGTATGTTCGGCCACTCTCACCCAGACATCATCGCTGCGATCAACAGCGTTACCAAGTCGGGATTCACTCTGGGCGGGCCGAGTCCCAAGGAGGGCGAATTGGCTGCCCTATTGGTTGAGAGATTCCAGAGCGTCGATGCCATCAGGTTTTGCAATTCGGGAACTGAAGCGAACACCATGGCGATTGGTACGGCGTTGCATTTCATTGGAAGAAAGAAGGTAGGCTGTGACAGTTCCTCGAGCCCGAGATATTTCGCTAAATCATGCTCCACGCTCAGGTCTTGGTGTTTGAAGATGGTTATCACGGTGGCACATTATCTTTCACGCCCAACAACCCGCTGATTCTTCCCCACAATTTCGCGTACGGCCGATACAACGACATTGAGTATACCCGATCGCA